TTTTTGTATCTCAATCCACTGATACCACCCAAACCATCTTCACCACGAAACTGAACATGAAGTGTTTGGTGGGTGGAACATTAGAAGACCTAGAGTTTCATGATGCAGAAGAAGAATTTTCCTGATCATATGTTAATGACAATGAAGCAATAAAAATTCTTAATCAAAGTTGAACTCCATCATTCAATCCCAAGCTTGATCTTGGCGGAGGTTCATCTATTTCAAGTTTGGAGGTTGATTCTATGCTCAAGATGTTTGAATCAAGAGTAATCACAAAGTTTCTGGAATGATAAAGCCTCAGCGTCTGTTATTTTAGAAAAGGTTTATTACACAGATCAGAATTCTGAGCTTCGTGTTAAAAACTCTCAGATCTGATTTTATGGAGAAGTTAAGGATCTGCGAAGCATAACAAAAGAACGACATGTTCTTTTTGTTAGGAAGTCAAGAAAGTGATGGAGGATGTTAACTCCCAAATTGACGAAACTTCGTGAAGACATGAAAAAGGGAAATTCTATCTCGTTCACATGATTATGCGTCCTTGAATCAGAAGGTCGATATCATTTGTGATGTTGTCACTCGATTTGTCAAGCTATACGAAGGTTGAGTCCTCAAATAACTCAAATCTCCAAGTCTGTAAGTGAAAATTTTGAAGGTGTGATCAAGTTGTTAAGGAGTTGAAGAGAGATCTCAACGAAACCGGTTTCGTCACCGTTGATTACTCCAGAATTTTTATCCCAGAAGTTTGTGCAGTTCGAAGCCCTACTTAACAAGCAACTTGCTCCACTATTTCGCATATCAGTCTTCTTCCCACAACTACTGCCCCTCCTGTTTTCACAGGAGTGCAAGGGGGAGAAAGGAAGTCAATAGAAGAAGAAGCGAAAGTGGTGGGCAAGTATTTTCATTCTAGCATCCCTTCAACAAAACCAGTAATTGTGTCTGCTCAACAGTGACCTCAACAATCGTAACAACATTACCAATTACAAGAACAATTCGAAAGGAATTTAATTGGTAAACCTTTGGAATCTGGTGGAAGTGGTTCGAAGCTAAAAGACGTAACTGAAAAATCTGCTTCGAAAGACAAAGGAAAATCAATTCTGGTTGAAAAATCTAAAGAAGAAAAGAAGGCTGAAGCTGAAGCTGAACTCGAGAAAATGAGGCTTATTAAAAGCATCATGACTTAGAGGGCTGGTGATCTGAAGGGCATGAATAAAGGTGATCCAGCAAAACATTACAACTATGAAACAATCGAAGCCTTGGTTGCCTTTAATCACATGTACTCATTTGATAAGAAGCCAAAACAGAGTTATGTGGTTACAAACACTGATGCATGCCAGTTGGATTTCCCTATAAATGAGATGATGTTCATCATGCCTCAGTTCAAAGCTGAAGGGAATTTCAAAGAAAAAGATGAAGGGACTCATATGAAAATTCGTTTTCATGCAGTACTTGGCAAAGCCCCTGAGGATGTTTGGTCACTGATCAAGATCAGAAGGTGATAAGCATGAAAAAGGATGTGGTCTTTGAAAACATTGTTCAAAATGTTAAATATGTTGTGGCCAGGCAAAGGGAAAAACATGTGCTGAATTCACTATTGCAGATTTTCCTCTGATGAACTTGTATGACCTTATACAAGTGGCATTGCTTCTGAAAGACAAAATCCTTTTCTTTTCTGCAAAACACAGATCCAGAGGAATTCAAACTTGGAGTTGCTCACATCAAATCTTCATTGAGAATTATTATGAGTGCCTAGCACTGACTGATGTGGAGTTGGCTACTGCAAAGGGAATGGAAGTAAAAGTTCCAATGGCTCCTTCGTTGACTCAGACTGAGTTAAAGAAATATGTTGATGGAGAAATATGCTTAAAGCCATTTGGAATAGTTTTTGCTGGAAAGGATAAAGCTGGAAAAGCGAAGCGGTTTTTGTTCCAAGCTAGCGAAGTGGAGAGATATTCTACATCTCAATATTCGAACTTGATTGTTCGTATGAACCACTGCAAAAAGAACAATGAAGGAGACAAGAAGGAATTGAAGAAAATTATTTCTTGGTATACTGAGGTTCGAAGAGTTTTGCTGTACTCCATTACTCTACTTACAAACTGAAGACTTCGACTTTGATTACAAAAGGGGAGATTGTTAGGGTCGAAATGTTGTAATAGTCGAAGTTTGTATTTAGGGTCTTCGAACATTTTTGTAATGTATTTTACTAGGGCATAATATTCGAAGCTTCATGTTTAGTCCTTAGTATATTTTTTGTACGCTTTTCTCTTCTATAAATAGGAGTGGTTACTAGTGTCTTAGTAACGAAGTCTTTACAGAATATTCATTGTACTCTGTAAAATTTGCAAAAGCGTAATAGAGCCAAACAGATCATATTTACATCGGTGTTCAAATCTTTCAATTCTACTTTGAATTTACACTCTAATTCGTTCAATACTTGATTCATTGTCTCATCAGACATGGATTGGTTGAGCCCTAATGGGGCGGTGATCGACTGTAAGCAGCAGTTGGTTCGGGTCAGGACCCCAAGTGGGGGAGAGCTGGTGATTCAGGGTGAGAGACCGCTGCGTGGACCGGTCATGTGTTCAGCAGCGAGAGTCAGACGCTACCTTCATCAGGGATATACAGGTTTTGTCGCCTACATTATGGATACCCGGGAGGAGGGTAAGGCGACCGTGAGCGATGTGCCAGTTGTGTGGGAGTATCCGAATGTGTTTCCGGAGGACTTATCTGGGGTACCTCTGGAGAGACAGATGGAGTTTAGGATTGACCTAGTTCCGGGTGCGGCTCCGATAGCCAATGCACCATATCGGTTGGCTCCTCCCGAGATGCAGGAGTTGTCTACACAGCTGCAGGAGCTGTTAGACAAGGTGTTAGACAAGGGATAGTGTGCACGTCGGGATTTCGTGGCCACGTATACCTCGATGATGTTCGTCGTCAGTATACCGTTTGGTCTTATTTTTTTTCTTGACAACCGAATTTCATTGCAGCTACGGGTTACACGGAGTATTACATTAGCAAAGAATCAGGAAAAGTATGCAGGTAATAAATATAATTAATGACTCAAATGATTCTTGTTTTATATATATTATATATATCATATATATATCTATATATAATCTATATATATATATATATATAGGGAAAAGTGAATATACCCTTAAGTGTATATAAGCTTATGTATCCAAATTCACCATACCACCTCGTTTTGTATCATATAATACATTCTAATTGTCCAATGTTCTTATAATTTAGCTTCTAACTTGGTTTACTTCCATGATTTATATAAATTACACATTTATCTTCCTCTTATATGATTTTCATTTTAATTTATGTCATTATATTTATAAAAAAACATATAAATTAATAAAACATAATTCAATTAACTACTAAATTAAATATACATTTTAAAACTAAAAACGACATTACGAAACAAAAAAAAACATTATCCAAAAGCATACGATAGTCCTAATAATTTAAAAAACTTAAAACCGATACACTATTCGTCGTCCAAATATTATCCTCGCTAGTTTGTGTTGGTTCCTTCGTCATGCGATCTTCCTCGGCTTCTCAACAAAGGAACTCCAAATGCTCACGTTGCAAGTCATATCTTTTAATTGCGATTTCGTTGTGGGCGTCAAATTTCTATTTCAGTTCTGCGTGCTCTCGAAGTTTACTTTCGCTTTCCTCCGCATGTTGTTGAGCCCTATCGGTCGTCGAGGCGGGGATATCTCTTCGATGTTGTTGATGTTGTCTGGTAGGTCATGCGTGCTCGCATTGAGGTCGATGTTCGTGCGTGTGTCCGAAACGTCGATCGAACCCTAGCCGCGAGATCTCTTGGATTGTTGTTCTGAAAATGTGTCCGTTTTAGTCCATTTTGGGTCATCCTTAACAATCTCCCAAATCTTTTCATGCTCGAAACGTGACCCGTCTCGACATGATATTGGTCCCTCGCCGCTCTAAAAACATCAAAATCGGTCGTGCCACTTTGCTTGTGCGAGGAAAATTTGTTGTAGATGGAATTGAACTTGGTGCACTTCTTGCTTATTTGAGTCCACTTGCTACTCAACATATCGTGATTGCGATAATTTTCAACCTTCTTCAAAATAGTCCGAAATTTGCCGATCACAACTTTCCAAAAAGCGACTTTTCTCATATCGTTTCCCTTAGTTGAGTTTTTTGATGTCCCGCACCATGATACCGCCAACACGTATTCTTCCTCCGCAGTCCACCATGTTGGAGGTTCTTTTTCTGATTGCTCCACCGCGACCCCTTTCCCTTTCTTTCTTGCTCTCCCTTTGTTGGCTGTTATTTTGCGCGCACTTGCGTCTCCACAACCATTTTTTGCGTGGGTGGTGGTTGTGTGGTATTTTGTTGCATGGTAGCAAATGTGTTGAAAATGTTTTGTGGAAGGGTTGTAGGGAATTGTGATGGGGGTGAGGCGGAATTGAAAAGGTTGTCGGAAAATGGAAGTTGCGGTGAGTTTTGCGAGTTGAGGATGGTCGCGTATGCCTCATTTTGTACAAACTGAGAGGAGGGGATGTGTTTGTGTTTAGAGGAGGAGTGTTGAAGTTTTGATCAATAGTGATTGAATATGAAATTGGTTGATTTGTATGGAATAAATGAGAGAAATATGTTGAATGTGTAGGTAAAAATTTGAAGTTATATTGGAGTTAAAGCGTAATTTGTTTTTTTGACTATGTGACCATTTCACAACGGTCGAAAAAGTGACTGTTCACTTGATGCAAGCCACCGTTTCTTCTTGTTGTCACCATAACGCCTCCTAACGTAACGGCCAAAAACGGGTATCGGGGACGGTGTTTCCGATGTTATAACGCCGTCTTTGGATGTCACCTCGGAACAAGTTCCTGGTCGTCTACAACTATGTACAAATAAAGTCAAATGAAATACTATATTATATATTTTTTGGTGTTTTTATAGTTTGATGATCTTTTAATATCTTTTATACTTATTTTAATGATTGTTTTGTATTATTAAGCACCATAAAAACCGTCAACATGGATCCTTCCTTTCTTTCACTAAAATGGCGACCACTCTCTCGCCTACTACTTCCGTCACTTTTCACCGATTCTCCGGCCACCAGTCTCTCAGCGATTTCCGATCAAAAAGGTACCTGAATTTCACGAAACTCCAGTGCACCGGAGGAGGAGACAACACAACAAGTACGGATTCATCCGCCACCGGTCAAGTCTCCGAGTCCGGAAACCTACTGCTCAAAACCGCTTGGTATGGCTCCGAGCTTCTCGGAATTGCTGCCTCGTTTTTCCGTTCACCGGAGAACATCGATGACGGAGCCAATAGAGGCATCGAGCTTGCTGGAGATAGAGTCGGAGTAATTGACCGATCAATTATCGTTGAAACTATCAAAGAGGATTATCAGAGGTCGTATTTCGTCACAGGTAACCATTAAATCGTACTCCGTTTAGTTTATACACCTCCAGTTTCCGAGAATTTCAAATTTGGTATCGAATTTGGTGATGAAAAGCAATTTCTTGTAGACATGCTCAATTTTACTTCATTGAATTCAGTTTTAGGGTACAAAATTCTTAGTTTTATCCATCAGGCTTTAATAATTGCAGTTTATGTTTGATTTTAGGTGCTCTTACACTAGACGCATATGAAGACGACTGTGAATTTGCAGATCCAGCAGGTTCGTTTAAAGGTCTACGTCGATTCAAAAGAAATTGCACAAATTTTGGGTCTCTTATTGAGAAATCAAACATGAAGCTCATGAAATGGGAGGATTTTGAGGTATTTCTCTGCAACTTCATACATTCCTAGTAATTCAGTGTGTAATAACCATGGATTTTGAATCATTTGTGTTGTAGGATAAAGGAATTGGGCATTGGCGTTTCAGTTGCACCATGTCATTTCCATGGAAACCTATTCTTTCAGGTATCTTCATACAAATTTTACAATGCCATTAAAAGGGATAAAATACAAAATGTTATTAAGATGAGGGTTGCTACCATGTCATTAATCTTATGATATGAGTCCGAATAAATTTTGTAGGACTGTTTTTGATCATGAGGACATTCTTGTCTTTTGCACTGATAAGAGCTCAAAAACAAGTTCATATTCCACTTTTTTGTATGAGATAAAAATTTGCAACTTTTGTCTCGGTGAATTCAGAGTTCATACCCAATGCTTTCAACACCAACTGTATTGTGTTACCATGTCATGTCCAGAGTTGTCATATCAATTTTGTTTTGTCTTCTTGACAACCGAATTTCATTGCAGCTACAGGTTACACGGAGTATTACATTAGCAAAGAATCAGGAAAAGTATGCAGGTGATTAATATATATATATATATATATATATATATATATATATATATATATATATATATATATATATATTCATTTGAAAACCCAAATAAAAAAATGAGACCCCTTGAAAGAATGTAAATTGCTTGGAAAAGCCGATTTAGTTGAAGTATTTATTTAGTGTTAAATTACTTTCAGGCATGTGGAGCATTGGAATGTGCCAAAGATGGCATTATTCAAACAACTTCTAAAACCTAGTAGAGGATTTTGGGGCAACAACAAACTAGGCTAAACGTTGCCTATATTCATTCATCCTGTATATATAATTAATTATATATGATATAATTTTATTCTACATAACACAGAGAATTCATGGATATATATATATATTTGGTTGGGCTTATTCGGTTTGCGATATAGGTCGAGCTTTAATTAGAAATTGTAGTTAATTAATGTAATATAATCTCCTTTCATACTTTTTCTCTTTTGTTTAATATTGAGTTCATCTAACCAAAAGTTTAGACTCAATGATGTTATGGTGTGTATATAGAACTTCTATAAGTTGGTTAACTTCCAAGTTATGGTTACAAACAAATCAGACCGGTTTGCCTTTACAATGTTTTTGGAACGATGCAGACAATTGACGACAAAAACATAAAATATTCTACTACAAGTGTTGTTACTAAAATGCCTCCAAACGTGGTAACAATGTTTGTTGTCTAAATTTGCACATATCATTCATTCACAGCTGGTCAAACATGATGCATTTAAGGTTGTAGTTTATGCAGTGAGAGTTGTAAATTGGTCACGAATAGGAGAAAGAAAACAAGCAACAAGTAATTGGCAGTGATCAAATATTATGAGAATTGGGAAGGGGGAGCAATGAGGGAGAAAGAAAACTATGGCTTCATATTACAAGAAATGGGGATTCAGAAAAAAATTTAAAAAAAAACAAATGATGTAAAAAGTAAAGACGCCAATAAGCCCATTATGTTTTATTTGTGTTGTTGTAATAAAGAAGACTATGTGAAGAGGAGGGATAATACAGTAATTATAGCATATAACTTGTTGTTGGTAAGGTAGGTGTACAAGAGATGAGATGAGATCTCAGTGATTTGGATGGTCAGGATTGAATTTGACAGACTCCCTCCAAATAAGCTCTTTGATGTGTTCTTCAGTGCATGAAGGCTGCTCAAAGTCGAAGCTAAAAGGATGAGGGCACACCGGCTCATCGTTGATTTCATGAAGAGGTGCCAAATACGGGTGACATAACGCCTCATCAACTGCAATATTTATATTCATATATATGTTAATTTATATATAAAATAAAAAAAAAAAAAAAAAAAAAAAATGGGAAGGGGAAAATGGTAAAAATACCTGTAATACGCCTGTTTGGGTCAAATACAAGCATCTTTTCAAGCAGATCTAAAGCTCCTGGGGATTTATTTGGGAATCTTGCAGAGAACTGTTGTCTTGGATACTGAGGAAGCTGTCTCACATATCTTCTTGCATTATCGCTTCTTAGAAACCCAAGACTTGCATCATCAGGCGAACCGATCAGCTAAAAAAAAAGTCAAACCAAAATTACTTAATTGCCCTTTCATTTGTGTCGTGATAATAATGAATTAATTACCTCCGTGATAAGTCTGAGCTGATGAACATAATCTTTGCCTGGAAACAAGGGCTGTCGAGTGAGGATCTCACCAAGGATGCAGCCGACGGACCAGATGTCAATGGCGGCCGTGTACTCTGAACAATTTAAGAGCAATTCAGGGGCGCGATACCATCGAGTCACAACATACTCGGTCATGAAATCGGTTTCTGAAGTGGTTCTTGCAAGCCCAAAATCCCCAATTTTTAGGTCACAATTTGCATTCAGAAGTAAGTTGCTTGGTTTTAGATCACGATGCAACACGTGTGCCGAATGAACGTACTTCAGTCCTCTTAGAATTTGGTAAAGAAAATACTGCCATCATCATCAAAACATCAAAACATCAAGTTTCAGTTTTGGACTAAATCATTTTTGTAACTTAAGAATCATAAAAATGAAGACATACCCGACAATGATCATCAGCCAGAGGTTGATTAGAGCGTATTATTTGATGAAGATCCGTGTCCATCAACTCATAAACAATGTAAACATCATTGAAGTTTTCCTTCTGTGGGGGCCGAATGATGTCTTTGATTGCAATAACCTGTACAGCTCAAATCACGTAAATACCCTTCAACCCAAATCAATACCATCAAAAGAGAGTTGTAAACTCACATTTTCATGTTCCATGTGACGAAGAAGCTTAATTTCTCTTAGAGTCCTTTTCGCATCTATTCTGTTGTCAAAAGCATTCCCAATTTTCTTTATGGCAACTTCTTCACGTGTCTCCGCATTCGTTGCAGCACTGAAAAAAAAAAGTCAACAAAAGTCAACTTTCTTCAAAACAATGAGAATCCCCTGTTTCTTTTTTTTCTTTTTCCATTTTGTGATTTTCAAAATGTATTTAGGAAAATGGAAGGAAAAAATGAGGGCAAATTTGTAAAAACTTAGGACTTAATGGGGAAAACCTCCTTACTCCAAAACTCAGATGAAGTCATATAATGGGTAATGATGTTTGTCTGTATAAAGTGTTGAATAGATAAGGTATATGTTGCTTTCCTAGACTAAATGACCATTTTATCCTTACATTCCAAAAAACTTCACAAGATCCATCAATTTCAACATGATAGTAAATAGGTAAACAGTTGGTATCTTAATACATTAAGCCATGGTTTTTGGCTTAACACATTAAGTCATTCAGTCCAGAAGTCAAAAATAAACAACACCTAACTATTTTCCTATTTATAAACAACAGTAAATGATTCTAAATCTGGATCTCGTGCTCAAGATTCTACAAAATTAAGAGGTTAAACCCTAATGATTATAAGCTCAAGTTACCCGTAAATCACCATCAAAATGTAGCTAAATGAATGAATCGAAGCAATCACATAGGATTATAAGATCATATTTCCTGCAAATCCATAGCTGATAAACCCTAATATGATCAACCACTACATCGAAGAGCCTTACGATGATGATCAAATACAAATCGCCATAACTACAGCACGTAATTCCACGATTCCCCAAACAAAATCGATCAACATCACCGAATAAAATCAAACATAATAACTACAAATCATGCTAAACATTTCAAAAACTACCAACAGAATTCGAGTCTTACCAAACGATTCCATAAGCGCCTCTACCAACAGGTCTGATCGGAGGAACATACTTCCGGGAAACTTCGAAAAGATTGCCGTACACATTATACTGAACGTAACGACCGCCATGTGTAAGAACCCCTTTAACGTTACTCTGATCCGCTGTAGTAGCAGAGCTTGACTCCACCACAGACATAGCTTCCTTCAGCGACTTTCTCTCTCTAGATCCAACCTAAATTTTGGGATTGAAGAAGAAGATATGGTTTTTGACATTTCTAAATTTAGAGTTGTTATGACTCATGACAATGAAGACTGAAGAGAGAGAAACTTTAGAACTGGAGCTGATATGTTGTTACCCGTGAAGAAATTTTACCTTTTTGTATAGTGCTTTTTGTGTTCGTCTTTTGTGTGGTTGAATTATAAATGTGTGTATGGTGTAAAACTTTTTTGATGGGTGATTCGATCACCATACACCTGTTACGGTTTTGATTATTCACAAACTCCATCAAAGTTGAAATCATTTTCATGGTGGATCATTTTCTCGAAGAGATTGTATTTTATGGTGGGGGGAATTGCATTTTACAGAAACAATACCTTTGTGCTATTTATTAATTTCGGAAAAACTGTTCTTATAAAATTTAGACGAATTTATTTACATACAAATCAAGTAATTTACTTTGTAAATTATTATTTCATTAGAAATATGTTATGCATCATTTTAATTAATATAAAAGTTATCGGTTACTCAACTTGTTCATATGACCTTATATATGATTATCTATAAGGGTTATTTCTATAAAAGACCCTATATATTGATGTTTTTTCTTTTCCGAAAAAAATCCAACTTTTACATGTTACTTGTTATTTTAGACCCTAACAGGTCACCAAAAGGGAAATTAAGTATTTTTATTTCATAAAAAACCCTATATTTTGTATTTTTTTTCCAGTTTAGACCTAAAATGTTTTTTATTTCAAGACTAGTTGTATAAAAAAACATGATTATATCATTTTAGTTTAAACTTAGACATTGATTTAAACAATGCTATTATTATGCCTACATTTATTTATGATTGGACAATTTCTTTATCCACATATATTTTTAAAAAAAAAGTAGTTGTAAAAGTTATTTCTTTACTACACCAAGTTCATGTAGCTTAATTTCGTCAGGGTATAAAAAAACATAATTGTATTCTTTTAGTTTAAATAATAGACACACGATTTAACTTTTGCATCTTTTGGCATCGTATTGATTTACGCATGAAACATTTTTTTTAAACCATTACACATACAACGATTTTACTTTTGCATCAATTTATGCTCAAGTTGTTTCATTCCCATAATATAGTTTTATGTATTTATATGTGATGTTAACATTTTTAAGAATTTTTTAAGAATGTCTTAAACTTGAATCTGATATATCTAAACAAAACTATTACGAATGTTTAGGATTAATATTTTTATGTATGCATTTGATATAATTATAACATATTATTCAATAATGGCATGGCCGGTCCTGGAGATGTATATATCTTCAAATGTCCAGGACGAGTCAGGGAAAAATGACCCCTATCGCTATTATAAGTTTTTTATTTTTAAATAAATGTATATATATAATATATAATAAAAGAAATTGTGTCTTGTGCAACTACCCACTTTGCCCCCATGAATAATGGGCTAATGCTACAAAATATTATATGGCTTTGGTTTAGGAGTATGATAGTGAGTGCGTTTGTTCACTGTTCTAAAAAAATTGATTAAAAAATTCGACCAAAAAAATAATATAGAAAAGTGAGAGAGGGAAATATGTCCAAACTCACGAAATTAGTATAATAGACAAACTAAAAAAATTTATTTTGTATACAGTTTGTTATATTACGTGGTATGATTTTTTTTCTACAAATAAAAAAAGTTGTTATTATGCTAAAATATTTTTCCTAGCTATGTATTATCCATGTCACAAAAAATATCAAATTAACATCAAACTTTTTATTAGCGGTAATAATAACATTTTTTATAAACAATATATCAGGTTTAATGATATAATATATATCCATGATAAAGTTTAATTATATCTTTTACACAAAAATAAAATTTTGCAATTCTTCTAGGTTATATTCGCTCAAAAGATAATAGATTAGATAACATTTTTTAGTTTATACATGTATACTTTCTTTTTTTTATGTAGTCAAGAAGTACCTTATATATATGGTCTTGAAGATTATAACCAATTTTAAAGTTGAGTTTACTTTGAAAAAAAAAACATTTTAGGTCTGAAATGGAAAAAAACTATAAAATATAGGGTCTTTTATGAAAAAAAATACCTAATTTACCAGTTGGTGATCTGCTAGGGTCTGAAATAACAAGTAACAGGTAAAAGTTGGGTCTTATTCGGAACCTTTTCATTTATTTTTAACATTTTTGACATTTTTAATTATTAAATTTTATTTTAATTATTTTTCTATTTTGTTGAAGACCTGACCACCATCACCACAGGTAATCTACACCACCTCCGGAAATTATAGCATCATCACCACCCCTCACCGAAAAATAGAGCACCACTTCCACCCCTCACTTCATCCCATCCACTCCTCCGTTCAAAGCAAGTGTTTCACTAAAAATAACTAGAAACTACCACCTTATTCACCGAACTAGTAACCTATACTCAAACCACCATTGAACCATCCACATTTACTGTTAACACCACCAACAGCCTCCATCGGAAAATCCATCAACAAATTAGGAAAGAATAATAAAGGCAAATCAGGAAGGAAGAATCAGGGCATGGCAATGTTTAATTCGAAATCAGGAAAGGATTTAGGGTTCTTAACCTGAAAGCAGGCGACGTCAGAGATGGAGGAGGAGATGAGTGACGGTGATGCAAATCTGATTACTGCGTGGAGTGTCTCTGGTAAGGCTTCGACGAGACCTTCTTTGTTGCCACCAACATCATCTTCTTCCCTATCGATATCTGTATATTACACCACCGTCTCAAACGAGTTTGAATAAAAGAACCATACGCCCCTTTCTTCGATTTCAAATGACTCAATCTCGATTTCTGAAATGCCTCCATCCGTGTGAGATAAAGAACCGCGACATAGGGTGTCGAAACCACCGTCTATGTAAGATTGGAGCTCTATTTGGGGATTTCATGTGTGATGGTACGAGAGAGAGGGAAAAAGAGACGAAAATTAAGGTTGGTGGTTGTTAGAAGATTGACGGAGATGGAGTCGTCATTGCCACTTGTGTGCTCCCATCTACACTCCTCCTGGTGGCCGGCCAAGGTGAAAGGGGATGTCGGGAAACTGAAGGGAAAAAGTAGGGTTGAACGTGTAATTTGGGGGGGGGGAGGGAGGGTATTTATTTTATTTTATTATTTTTTCAATTTTAAAAGATGATAAACAAATAATAAAAATATAAAAAAGAAATTACTAAGGGTAAAATAGTCATTTTATGTCTTCAGGGACTGCCCGAGTGAAAAAAACATAATACAGGGACGGTCCGAGTTAATTTTTGAAAATAGGGACTAAACACGTTTTTTGGCATATACATGAGGGACAATTGGTGTAATACCCATATGATTATCTATAATGAAGGACTAAATTGGAGAAAGCCTTGATTTTAATTTTCGTTGACTGTAGACACGATATTTTCATGGAATTATCACTTGAGAACTAATAACCGGTGACGAGCAGGTAACCTGTTTTATCTGGTCACCACTAACATATTCCCTAGCCATCACCTTTTACGAACCTCATTGATAAAGGGTTTCATGCATTCGACAAGGGTTTGACGCTAAGAATGGTTTCACAGTCCCCGATTTCGCATTTTGAAGCTCCGAAATCGTTGGTGAAATAAGGTGGAGTAGAAAGGTACGTTTATGGAAACAAAAAATTGATGCTTCTGAGGGTGGTTATCTTCTTCTGTGGAGTATGGAGTTCCAAGTTTGAACTAACAAGTTTTTTTTTGTTTTTTTTTTTGATGAAACATATGGCTTCTACTTTTGGAACTAAGAAGCCTAAAGGTCCTAAGCTCCCTAAGAAGAAATACATTCCAGACTCTGACTCCGATGATGAAGCATTTGACTTTAGCTTCTTGGATTTTTCTGAAGAAACTTTCAAAGCCCCCTCAATGTAACGACCCAAAAACCGAGGGTAAAAATCTCATTTTTAATATAGTCAAAACATAGATATCATTTATTCCAAACATCCAAAACATTGTTAATTAAAACATTTATCAGAGTTCATCCCAAAATCATTCAATGCGGAAAACATAGGTGTATACACTGCAATCAATCCGAGCCCTTCTTTTCCAAATCGATGATACCTGAAACCAATAAACAAAATTGTAAGCACGAAGCTTAGTGAGTTTCCCAGAGCATACCCCATACACAATCACATAACACATATCATATTAGCTATAAAAGCTACATATATCACATAAGCCACGCATACAACATATAAGGAAGCCATGGAAACCCTCCAGGGTCTTACACCTTTAGCCACAGGAACCCCCACGTGGTCTTATCTGTCTGCCATGGGAACCCCCACATGGTCTTCCTGCCTTGGGAACCCCCACAAGGTATTCCTGCCTTGGGAACCCCCACAAGGTCTTCACTACGAAACAAGACATAATGCAACTATACATGCAGATATACTAGGATGCCATGGAAACCCTCTAAGGTCTTATAACAAATGCCACGGGAACCCCCACATGGTCTCAGACTACTGTCACAGGAACCCCCCGGGGTCTTCCATGCAAATGTCATACTAACATAACGCATTGTAACGCCCGTAGATCCGGGCTAGTCAATTTAGAGATAATAGGGGTCGAAAACGACTTTTCGACAAAAGATTATTTAGAATAAATAATCTTAACCAAGTTTTAGAATACGTCTCAAGGTTTCCGAACATATAAAGAACGCCGAAATCCGAGTTATAACGAAGAAGTTATGACCCGTCGAAGTTTTACGGCAGAACCGGCACGGCACCGAGAGACGTAAATAGTGAATTTACGATAGAGCGACTTTTAGCCTTAGCGATCTAAACGAAAGTCATAGAAAACGTTAAACCGAGAACATACAAAAAAAGTACGCCCAAATCTGACTTCGTATGAGGAAGTTATGAATTTTCTACGATTTGGCATAGCAGTGCACGACCCGAAACTCGAATTTTAGATCGAGCGGTTTTTGGCCTACGCGACCTAAAGGAGAATTGAATATCTCATTAATAGGAACTCAACGGTAAAAAGACAGACGAAAAAGGAGTCCGTATGTAGAAGTTATGAATTTTACGCGGACATTTAACAATATAATCTCCTCGTACTGTTAAATTTAAGATCGGTCGAGAATTAGCCGACGGAGTCAAAATGAAAGTTGTAGATCTTATTTTTACCTACACGTGGATATAAAGAACGTCAAAAACGGAGGTAGTAAGTGAAAGTTACGGATTTTAGAAGTCGGAAGTGTGCGGTGCGAAAATGGGTGATGTGGCACAATCTTGGCCATTGCTTTCTCCCCAAGTCTTGCCAC